TATATTTAGATTCTGCACAGTATTAGTAAACAGCAAATGGAGCACTATAACACAAGGAGAAATGAATGAGTCCATCTTTCTGGGCCTCGGTCCATTCCTCACTGAAGGGGAAAATCTGTTCACCAAGTTAGTCATACTGGGGTTAAGGAACCATTCAGCTCTGTGCTCTAGGAGTGGGGTTCCCAACCCCCGGTCCGTGGACCAGCACTGGGCTGTGGCGTACCAGAAACTGGGCCACACAAACAAGGAAAGCCCCATTCATGGGATGCAGGCAGCATGCAAAACCACGCCCCCTCCTATCTGTGTGAAAAGCCTCTCCCCATGGAACTGGTCCCTGGTGACCCAAAGGTTGGGGGGGGGGGGCCCTGCTGTAAGGAGCCTGTGTCCCTTGGAGAGAACATAGTATCTGAAGAGGGCTCTGTGCCAGGGGTAGGTTCAGGCTTCTTTTACTGCTGGTTCGTTCAGAGATGCGCTTCGGGCGCAATACGTTCACGTGTGCAGAGGTAAAGTAATTGCTCCTGCACATGCACAGAAGCAAAAAACAAGATGGTGGCCTATGGTGCTGCCGATAGATCCGGTTTGGGGGCGTGGGTAGCCGAGTTACTACCTACTTAGCGAACCGGTCCAAACCAGTAGGAACCCACCTCTGGCTCTCTCCCAGATCCCTCTTACATCTCCTGTTATACATGTTGCATGAATGTTAGTTTATGTGGGGAGAAAAATATCAGGATGAAACTGGTAGCTCCTTTTCTGGATAAGTTTATTAACAGGCATAACTTTTGTGAATGGCGGTGCAGTTTATCAGAGGCACAGAGCCTCCGATGCAGCTTACAAAAGCTTGTACTTGCTAATAAATTGTGTGAGTCAGAAAAGGGGCTTCAGGTTTTTATTTTTTTGTCTCTCACCATCCATGGCTTCAGTTCTCTTTAATCATCATTTAATAATTGATCATTAGTGGCTCAGCATATCTTGGAGAACTTCAACTCTTACACAACGGAAGAGAAATGTGTCTCTTTCTTACAACATTTGCTTTGCCCCAGCAGCAGCTGCTGGAGGAAGAGTGCCTGGAGGAGGGGCTGGCGGCCTAGTTCCTGGAGCTGGTGGTTTTGGAGGCCTTGTTCCTGGTGCCAATGGTATTGGTGGCTTAGTTCCTGGCGCTGGTGGTGGACTTGTGCCTGGCTTTGGCGGAATCCCAGGAGGTGGAGGTAAGGAATGTTTATGCCAACACTTTAAAAAGTGAAAGGTTCCCCTCGCAGATATGTGCTAGTCGTTCCCAACTCTAGGGGGCGATGCTCATCTCCGTTTCAAAGCTGAAGAGCCAGCACTATCCAAAGACGTCCCGTGGTCATGTGGCCAGCATGACTAAGCGCTGAAGGCTCACGGATTGCTGTTACTTTCCCACCAAAGGTGGTTCCTATTTTTTCTACTTGCATTTTTACATGTTTTCAAACTGCTAGGTTGGCCGAAGTTGGGTCAAGTAACGGGAGCTCACTCTGTTACACAGCGCTAGGGATTCAAACCGCTAAACTGCTGACTTTTCTGATCGACAAGCTCAGCATCTTAGCCACTGAGCCACCACATCCCATATTTATTTTATTATTCCCAGACAAATTAGTATTTCTTTGGGAACACAACAGAATTTCCGATCAGTTCAGAATACAAGGCAAGTAAGCTGAATCACTGAAATGCCCTTACAAATGTAATTAACAATGGCAAGGAACAAAACGAGTTCCCCAGAAGCACAAATACTCCCAGTGATAGCAAACATTTACCTACCTTCCTCAAAGCTAGTAGGAGAGGGTCAAGAAAGCCTTCAACAGTGAAGAGTTCCACAACTGAGGCATCCCTCCAAGATTGTTTCGATTTTCCTGTTCAGAAATGCTGAAATGCAAATCCTTTTTAGATATTTAGCAAGCTGTATTGCAAGTCAAAGTGATCTTATTCTTTATTATCTTTTGATTTTTCAAATACTGCTGCAGGAAATCCAGGAAAGGGAGGGATTGTTTATAGCAGTCCATCTCAGCAATTTTAAAATATATGAGCTTCAACTCCCAGAAGTTCTCAGCCAGCAATCTAAGGTAGTTTGAAGTCCACATCTTTTAAAGTTGTGGAAAATTAGAAACACTGGTTTATTTTTTTTNGTCTTTTAATTTCTTGGCTGCAGTCCCCATCTGTGGTCATCTTGGAGCCCAGGAAAATAAAATCTGTCACTGCCTCCATTTCTTCCCCATCTACAGTATTTGCAGGAATTGAGAGGGCTGGATTGGACCTAATATAAAGGATTAATATACATGTTGTGTCATGAGATAATTCTTTTACTGTATCAAGTTTGTTCACTCCATCCCCAACCTGTCTGAGATCTAGGTCATTGCTTCAAAATGCATTCACCTTCTACCTGCTAAAACAATCCTTCCAACATAATAAAAACGATTTATCACTCAAACCTCCCTCTCAGTTTATCACTGACCTTATTGCTTTTTTCTTTGTAAGCCAAAATTTATCATCCTTGTAGATTAATGTTCTTCAAACTTGGCAACTTTTAAGGGCTGTTAAATTCAACTTCAGCACACTGGCTGGGGAATTCTGGGAGTTGAAATACACACATTTTACAGTTGCTGGGTTTGAAAACCACTGTTGTGGATTTTAGGATCTTGCCTTCTGATTATTTCTCATCCAGTATTTCTCATTTATACTGTATCAAATTTGTCAGACACACAAAACCAAACTCAGCATCTTTGTGGTGATAATACAAGATTCTGCTGGATTGCTGAATTGCACTCTGCTCCCACAGCAATAGGAATTGGGTGGAGGGGGGGGGGCGCTTCATTGATGTTTTTCAATTCTTGAACATTGCTTCCTTTCTCTCTTCAGAGATAGAGACAGAAGTAATTTGCACATGAATAGAATAGAATAGAATTCTGGAAGGTACCTTGGAGGTCTTCTAGTCCAGCTGCCTGCTCAAGCAGGAGAACCTATACTATTAGAGATAAGTGGCTGCCTAGTCTATTCTTAAAAACCTCCAGTGATGAAGCACCCACAACTTCTGAAGGCAACTTCTGTTCCACTGGTTAATTGTCCTCACTGTTGGAAGCTTCTCTTTAATTCTAGCTTGCATTTCTCTTTGGTTCATTTCCAACCATTGTTTCTTGCCCTGCACTCTGGTTCTTTGTAGAATAATGTGACCCCCTCTTCTTTGTCGCAGCTGCACAAATACTGGAATACTGCTATTATGTCACCCCTAATTCTTCTTTTCTTTAGACTACTAGCCAGACCCAAAACCTGCAGTTGTTCTTCATATGTTTTAGTCTCCATATCTTTGATCATCTTAGTTGCTCTTCTCTGAACTCTTTCCAAGGTCTCAACATCTTTTTTGTAGTATGGTGACCAGGATTGGTTGCAATACTCCAGGTGTGGTCTTACTCAGTGGTGGGTTTCAAAAATTGTTCGAACCTACTCTATAGGTGTGGCCTCCTTTGCGGGAGTGGCTTGCCACCCATGTGACCGGATGGGAGTGGCTTGCCGCCCATGTGACAGGATATGAAGATGCCGAC